AAGAATAGTGTTTCTCTTCTTTTTTTTTTCTCCTCAATGATCCCTAATGTGCCGCTCCTAAGACCTTTATTGTGAATACGATCGACTTTTCTCCAACCTTAAATTAAATCAAGCTACATATGGCTAACAGAAATTGGCGTATGATAGTCGCCTCCAATTTTTAATTGTTTTTATTATATAATTACTTATATATATTTAATTATAGTTTAATGGTTTTAATTTATTTTTTACCAGCCACGTCAGCAAATCCGTTAGGATTATAGACAGGAACCATTTTTTTTATAGATCGGAGAGTTTTTGAACCATTTTAAAAAAAAAAATTAGGGATACTTTGAAACAATGTACATATTTTGGGGGCATTTATGAAAATAATCCATAATGTTTTTCTTTTAAAGCTAAGGTCTAAGTCCATGAATCCCTTGTACTTGAAAAGACAAAAATCTCCATTCTACAAACAAAGCTGATTATTTGTATATTGAAATCGAAATGAATCTAGGAAACATAATATAAATATGTATAATTATGTTACATAAAAGTCAACAAAAAGATTAATCATGATGCACAAAAAGGATTACGTGTGAACTCAAGTATATATTATATGTTAGTATATACGAGAGTTTAACATAGTACCAAAAAAGGAAAAAAATAACATCTTGTAGTAATAAACAGTGAGAGAACTAATTTGTAAAAACTATGTCTATAAACAAGTAACAATTTAAATTATACATGATGGAGATAAATATATATACATATATATATATATATATATTTGTTTTGAGCTCAATTTATGTCAGCTTCCTTATAAAATTACAGGAAAAAAAGTATTTTAATCTCATGCATGCATATGGCATGGATATTAAATACTGTACGCCGTATTGCTTTGAATATAAGAATATATGTGTTTATCTTGGTGTTTTGAATAGGGCTTATTTAAAATTTTAACTTATATTCTATAGTGGTCATCTCTTACCAAGAAAGACCGCCAGCATTTTTAAACCTTGTGGAAATACCTTTCAAGCCAAACAATAAATAATTAAATAAAAAATACGATTAAATTTCCGACTTTTCTTTTCTTTAAATATTCTTGGTCTCTGTTCTAAGCAAGCGTTATACAATGAATATTGTAAAACAAACAATTCATAGATAAACTATAGTTTAATTTCGAGCTGCACAAATTTGTGTTGTGTGGAGTGAGTAGGTGAACATGGGGTGGAGTGCAAATTTCTTTCATAATATTCTTATTTTTATCTTTATTTTTACTTTACTTTTATTTTTCTTTATTCTTTTTTTTTTTTTTTTTGGTGCTTTGTTTTTCGATAGGGAAGAAGAAAAGGCATCGATAATGTCAAAATCGTTGACTAAATTTTATGTTTACGTGCCGTCAAGGTTTGGCAGTGCAACCACCACTTACATTCCACTTCGAATTCAACCCCATATTTTTGAGTAGATTATTGAGTACCATTTAACTATGATTTGGTTTTAGGGATTTAATGTTTTAAGCTAATCTTTGATACTGTAATGCCAATATTATATTTGACAAAAAAGTTGTATAAATATTACATTTTTAGTGCATTATCCTATTTTATGCTCATTGCAAAACGAGATTTTAAATGGTAGCTTAGACTAAACTTTAGATTTTAATTTTGTAAATGAAAATTTTGATTTTTTAAATAACTGAAACATAATAAAATGTTGTTTGTAATTATAAAGGGAAAAGGTCGATATATTACTTAATAAGAAATAATATTAAAATTTAGCATATATTGTACTAAGTTTGTCATTAAATATAACATTATATTGGAAATCAATGATTTTGTTATATAAATGTCGAATTAGACATTGCATTTTAAATTACCAAACTAACTCGTAAAAGCTGGGGGGTACGAATTTTTATCCAACTTTTGTTTCTTCGTTATCTACTTTGTCAGAGTACCAATGCCAAATTGTTAATAAAAGAAGAAGAAAAAGAAGAAATACATTTTAATTAACTTTATCATTCTTTTCTTTGAATGCACACTAAAGTGAGTTAACTAAAATTGAATAAATCCTAAGAAAAAACTAAAATTGAATAAAATATTATTAAGGATTCTACACACACAAAAGTAACGGAGGAATTAGAGTTAAACACCATCTTTGTGTGGCGCTCAATACAATTGGTATCCTAAACATTGTTGAATCACTAATCTAGCCGATAAAAAGAAAAAAAAAATGCACTATTTATTTATTTATTTATTTTTGCTAATGAAAAAAAAGAGATAATTAGTGTCATCCCACCACATCCTTTTCGTCACACGGCATGCATTAATATAACATCGCGACTATTGCTAATTTGTCCATTGAGTCATTGTTAAACTACTTATGGGTTAGTTACATATATACATCTTGTTTTAGCTCTTTCTCAATTCATAGAAGTTATAGAAGTACAGATTGAATTTGATAAACATACTTCTCAAATTTAAATAAGGAGCCTTTGCAGTTCCGAAAATTAGTGAAATAAATTGAAAAAATATAAAAAATTAAAAATTAAAATATAATTATGTATTTATCCCAATTACTTATTTGTATATTCTCAAACTAAAAGTCAATTTTCTCTAATTGAGGGCAAGTAGAAAAGTGGCCAACTTCAATGTGCAGGTATGGTATTGATTGGACTTGGGATTCTTAAACATGAAAATTGATGGAGTCAAAAAAGGTGAAAAAGTTTTGGATTCACAAACAAGCTTTTTAATTCTCAAAAACTTAATGGAGTCAATTGAGTGGGGAGGGAAAGTTGAAGAAAGTGGTTTTAATTTATGCTTCCACCTATGTAGCAATAACAAGTAGATAAATTTGTGCTTGCGCTGATTTGTTTCTTGTACTCTTGTGTTTATTTTTCTTAGAGTAAGAAAATGTGTTTTTGACTCCTAATTTAAAAGAATTTGAAATTTTTTATTTTTTTTTTCTTTTTGGTCTATTAGACAAAAAGGTACAAACTGTTTTCTTTCTCATTTTGCTATCTTTTTTGTGGTGGGGACCTAATTAGAACTTCTCTTGCAATTTTGTCAAAAAAAATTGTAAGGCCAACCACCTAACCGACCTTCCAATGAAATTGAAATTTAGACAAGTACTAGAGAAAAAAAAAAAAAACTAGCTGCCAAGAATATGATTTTGAATTGTACAAAAAGGAAATTCGAGTCCTCTTTTTTTTTTTTTTTTTTTTTTTTTTTTTTTTTTGGCTAAAGGAAATTCGAGTCTTGTTAGTAGGATAAGGTTTTGTTTTATTTTTATTATTATGACATGTGATTCACATTTACCTCGTGTTTATGATTTTCTTCAAAAGAAAAGATGGAGGAGATTGACCAAAGGTAGCTAATGAGAACGAGCGTGATTATAGTAATATCTGCTCATTAGATTTTTTTTTTTTTTTTTTTAATTGTCTGTCTTCATGGAATCTTATGAAGAAATTGACTCATGAAAATGGACCCAAGAATCTTTCAATCAGGTCATTTCGTTGTTAATGTCGACAAAAATATATAAGAGGTTAAATGAGACAGATACTTTTTAGAGTGTATGAATCTAAATTTTTACTTTTTATTCTTAATTAATAATATCATTTTTAATCAAATAACTATATTAATTAAAAGAGTATCACTCCTCCTTTTGTGTACAGATTATTTGAATCGTCTTCCTAATAATTTTCTCCATATTAAGATGTACAGATTATTTGAATCGTCTTCCTAATAATTTGCCCCATGCTACACATAACAGAAGTTAATATAGGCCCAACCCAACAAAATCTTGGGTCCTTTCCCTCACATTCCACGGCCCACGTAATCTTTATTTATTTAAAGGAAAAAGGCGAAAAATACCTTAAAAATGCAGGGTAATCCAAACCCTTACCATTGATTAATCCGTTTTTAGTTAAATAACTACATTAGTCAAGCGTATTAATGAAGAGTCAATGATAAAAATCCAAATCTCTGCACTGTAAAGGTAAGTTCAGCAATGTCTGAAGATTAGGGAATCTCTCCTCCTTCCGTGTTGGAGTAAATTTCTCTATATCAATGTTCTTCTACCTTCTTTTAGAGTTGTCCGTTCGGTTTGTTAATTCAAATTTTTAATTCGAGTTGAAATGTAATATTATGTGAAAATTTTTTATTGTAACAAAAAAATTAGATATGACTGTTTCTGAGAACTTTTTACTGTAGCAAAACTCGAATTTTAAACTAGAATCAGCGGGACCTAGATCTTCATGTTAGGAGAAAATTAGTGATCTTAACTTTAGAGTCCATAACTCCGGACTAGAATTTTATCTTTTTCTCTTTATTAACACTCTTCTGATTAATATAATTATTTGAAAATATTAATAAAAAATAAAGATTAAAAATCTAAACCCATATAATTTAAGTGATATTTATCTCATTTCTCTTTATGTTAAAAGTCTTTTAGGGTCCATATAATGGTCTTACAATGCAATACTTTCCAAAAAATGATATATCATCCAACACTATGCCCGCCCCTTCCAAATCCCCAGTGAGAGTACCAGCCACTAGACCAACCGCTAAAAGGATATGCCGTTAAAAATTAGGACAATGCTAGGTATCTAAAATCATCTATCAAGATTTTTATACCAAGTAATTTAATGAATGGGTTCTTAATTGTCAATCAGTAAAATACACTTATAAATTGGAAAAGGAAAATGAAAATTCGCTTATACCGCTTGGTACCAAAAAATAAATAAATAAATAAATTACGCGAGATCCAATCATTAGAGAATCTTTACCGTGGAGTAAGTTATTTTCTTCACTAGTGGGGATAACTTTTTTAACCGTTGAACAGTTTTTTAACGGTCAGATTTGTATAAGTCCGTATAAAAAATTTACAATATGTCACATAGAGTTATTCCTACAGCAGATCTAACCAATGAAAAATTAATCAACGGTAAAACTTATGCCTATTAGTCTCTGTTTGACATGTCGGATCGCAAAAACTCAATTTTTCTTGCTCTTTTTGGAGGGCAATACTCGAAAAATTATGTTTTCATTCATTTGGTCATAAACAAGCATAGCATTCTCCATGTGTACCTATGGATCAGACTCTACAGGTAAACACTAGTTTCTTTACTGCTTTTAGTCATGAGGTAGATAACATCCAAAAAAGAAGAAAAGGAAAAAAAATAAAAATAAAAAATAAAACCCACTTGAAATCTTACAGAACACGCGGCAACCAGACCAATGCCATCGCAGAAGTGCTTTTACAAGCAGCGTTAAGTGTGTCACGGTCTCAGAACCGGCCTGCCCTTATGTCCCCATCCAGGCGATCTGCGTTAAGTGTTCCGGGAAGCTCTTGAAAGTCTTCATTGAAGATGGAGTAGGCACTGAAGTATTGGGCAACAATGAAGAAAAGTAAGATCATGAATGAATGCTTTAATTTTAGTGATTCATATGGTTGGGAATGGAGATGTTAAAAACATAACTTAAAATAGTTCCCCAAGGGGATAAATCGATGGCTAGTCCATTTCTATTCCAAATGTTTGGGAGACAAAACACTGAACACAGAAGTAACTATAAACACATACAAACATAAGAATAACATATTTTCTTCCAAAAAAAAGTAATTTATTTGCATTAGATTTGTTAATTAATGATGGAAGCCATATAATAGTTTTATCATTTTAGATATAGTAAGTTTAGCAGGAGCTCAATTCACAATATTTTTAGCAACAAAATCCATCACAAATGTCGATACCTGACGTCACCAGGTTGCCGTTTTCCAAGATTCAGGAGAATGATGACGAAGCCTGTTCCTAGTATCTGAACACATCACAAATAATATAAGGAATCCATCTTAGAAAGTTGCCAACAAGTCAATTAGATTGTCTTGTACATTTCTTTCATCCCAAGACAACACTATGATCTACCCAGCTGTTAAAGTCACCAAAGCAAAAACTTCCTCGTTTATTCACCTCTTTCCATGAATTTCACTTAATAAATAAGTGTTTAGAATTAGAGGCCCTAATTCTTCACTATTGAAAGCAACAAAATCGCAGAAAAGAAGCAAACAAACAATAACACACAAGATTTATAGAGGTTCACCCTTAACTCTCATAGTGTTCTCTCTAACCTCACTCTTAACCCTGAATATGACAACGAGTTATACATATGTTACTAAGCTGGATTACATTTTTCTCTACACATGATTTCTCCTCTCTACAATTGTAAGGCCTATGTGGGAATTTTTTCTTTTTCTCCACTTGCTTTCTAGATTTCATCAAAATAAAGCCGGCATGCTCTGAAGTTAGATTAAACCATTTAAAACACAGAATAATACAGTAGATAGAATGGATGAGTGAGAAAATTTCCACATAGCTTCAATAGTGATGGCGTCAGACCAATAATCACAGAAAAAAGATTTCAGTCCTAGGTCTTTCGTAAAATGGGCTTTGACATCCAAAAACTAAAACATAAAGTTGGTGTCCTTGGTCTTTAACATCTAAAATCCAAAAATATAAAATAAAGAGAGGAGACCCTAATCATTCATACATAAAGAAACTAACAAAAAGAGAAAAGTGATAAATCTTAAAGTATGTAAGTTCAAAAGTAATTAGTAAAACTGGATTCTACATATATTCATTAACAACATAGACTAACAAGGAGGAGCAAACTTACGTATAGAGGGCCAAGGCCCCATCTATTGGCAACAGGAGCCAAAATAAACCACATAATGATAATAATCCACGCCTTTAGACTGAGAGAGAAAATTGCCATCAAAAGGATATCTACCAATGAAACATAAAAAATAAAAAAAACATAAAAACACAAAAACATCATTTAATATAATATTATCTATATAGATAAGCACAGCTCATTTTAATGGTTACCGGGAAGCGTCAACTTGTCATGTAGGAAACAATAAAGCGTCCTTTTCCACCTGCTTGATGACTGTGGAAGCTGAAACTTCTGGAATCCAAATAAATACATGAGAATGAAAAAAAGAAAAATGAAGAAATATATATACAGGGTGAGAAAAATTTATTTCCATATGAACACTCAGCGCTTTGTACCAGATCTTCTTCGTCGTCGTCATCATCGAATCCATCCCGTAGAATTTTACTTGGCGGCTTTGGTTTCACAGCAACAATTAGAGAATCTGAAAATGAAAAGTAACTAGCTACTTAAACAATGTGAGACAAACAATAGCCAGATGAAACAAGGAAAAATGTTGTATTAAAAATATAACTTGTAATGAGCTAGACCAATACCACCATTATTGAGTTGCAGGCAAGCATCCTCGCCATTTTTACTGTCGTGCAAAACATTTCCTCGCAAAATAAGCCTCAAATTCTCGATCGGTAAATGGTTATTCCCAGCCATCAATTTTCTCAACTCATGCACCTAGTTGCAAGGGAAAAAGGGGGGGAACGTTATCAATGATGTGAAACCAAAAACATCTTGAACCAACAAATTATGATGTAAAACCAAGAACATCTTGAACCAACAAATTTATGCAACTTTTAAAGTGCTTGAAAAATTCATAAAGATGAATCAATGACTTTGTAGAAAGCATCTATTTCCATAGAAGAGTTCACAATTGCATTAACCTCTAATAGACTAATAACTTTCAATAGAAACACAAAATACTAAAGCTGGCCCCAAAAATTCAAAATTGCCAAAATACACATTAAAAAAAAAAAAAAAAAACCCGGAACTTTTGTCAATAACATGAAATCATCGTAGATATAATAGTAAAATAAAAACTTACATGTAAGATTCACCAACTAACATGTAGAACAGAGTAAATTAAAGACAAATTAGAATAATTCGGAGACCTCAATTGCAAACCCAATTAATTAACATAATGTAGCATTAAAAAAAAGTGAATTAAAGACATAATTGCAAACTCAATCAGAATAATTCAGCACTAATTTTGTTTTCTATGAGTAGCCTTAATACTGATAGTAATTCTTCGCTGATCCAGATCTTCTAGTGCAAAAAGGGTCCAATTCACCAAAAGGGTATATGATTATAGTCGCGAAAGAATTGAAAATCATCAGAAAAAAAAACAAACAAAATTCTATTTAAAGAAAGAAAAAAAAAACCCCAAATTGGTTTTAGGCGTACTTTGATGGAAGAAGGGACGCGGAGACGAGAGGGGCGAGCTGGGCCGACGGTTCTGACGACGATTTCGACCGTATTCTTCGTCGTCGTTTTGGGGTCGTCGTCGCCATTAATGTCGTTGTCGTTTATGGGTTTTAATCCTTTCTTCTCAACGATCTCTCCCATACCGTATATGCGGCCAACGACCACCAGAACTCTCCGGTGTCCGTACAACGGCAAGCGTCTGTTCGGAGTTTTGCTTTTCCCGTGTGAAGTTTCCGTTTGTCGTGTCATCTTTTATTGAATGGAACCAATATATATTTGCAAGGAAAAAAACAAAAAGTAAATGACATTTTTCACGGTAAATAATTGAAGTAAATAATATTTTTACGGCAAATAAATAAAGTAACAGCAAGGTTTAAAAAGGATAAAAATTGCTGTTTTAAAATTTTTATTTTTTATTTTTAATTAATACTCTTTTAATTATTATAATTTTTTTATTAAAAGGTCAAATATAAAAATTTAAGCTACAAGCGTTTTTAGAGATATTTGTCCCCTTTTTTTTTTATAAAAATATGAAATAAATAACCGTCAATAAAAAATTTAATAGCTAAATAATTTAAGTTCCTTCTAATAAATAGGTTATTTACTAAATAAATTACTTCAAATTTTCCTCGAAAAAAAAAACATCAGTTGTCTCTAGACATAATGACGCAAAAATCATGTTGTTTCATGTTTGGGACTTCCAAACGACATGATAGATCCAGTCAGTTGAAAATAGCGTCGTTTGATTTTATTCTCTCATTTTGTTTTCTTAAGAAATGAGTCTTTGGTCTTCGTGTCCCCAACGTACTAAAAAAAATCATATTTTTTTGATGAAAACAATAGTGAAAGAAGATCATGTTTTTCAAATGACGGGAATAGAACATGTTCTCACAAGAAATAAATGACAAGAAACAACACGATCTTCTTTCATGTCGTTTTTGAAGCTGCTTGTCTCTTTTGGTCGTTTGAGAACTTTGAACTATTTTTCATGTAATGAAAACGTCAAGTGGCATCAATTCATCTTTAGGCTGTTTTCTTGGAAGTATGTCTTTTTCTTGTCTTTTATAACATACGACAGAAAACATAAAGTCGTTTATTGAAACAACACGAAATGAGAATGTCGCTTAAGCTACACCAACATTTTTCTTCTTCATATCCTCATGAAAGAATGACATGATTTTCTTGTCGTTTCCAGATTTACTTTACTTATCTTTAAAAAAAAGAAAAAACAGAAAATAAGGATCTCTGTCTTTCATGATTTCCACGTCGTATCTTTTCTTTTTGTTTTATAGGGGATCAACGTTAGCTTTCATGCTGTGAGAAGTCACATATATTTCTTGTCAAATGATAATATTTATGTCGTCTCCTGAGAAAATACGTCTTTTTGTTAGTACGACACCAAAATATCATATATTTTAAAAATAAATTTATACATCTTTTCATGTAAATCATGTCGTGTTAAAAGAAGGATATGATTTTATCTTGTGTTCTAATTTAATTATCTTTTTCTTGTTGTTTTATGAAAGGAAAAATGCCTAAAGTATCTCTTGTGTTTTGCAAAATATCACTCTCGTCTCTTTTATTTTTAAATGTCTAAAACATCCAGTATCTTAATAAAAGTAGACCCGTGCGTTTGATTACATGAACGGAATAATAATGGTAATGATAATGAAAATGAGAATAAAAAAGAATGCATCAGAAAAAAAGACAAAAATTAATTCTTTTGTTCGGTTGAAGTTACGGAATGACTTCATTTTGATTGTGTGTTGACAAAATTGCCCTTAATAAAAAAGTCAAATTACATAATCAATGTTCTTTTTGTTTTTGGTTCTTTTTTCATGTGATTGTTCTCAACATTAATCAAGTTCAAAATACAATTTTCTTTGCCGAAGAACAACTACAAAATATGAAAAAACACAATCCAGAGTTTACCCAAATGTGGAAAAAATAATCGTCTAAGAACAATTATGTAATACCCCAAATCTAAAAAATGACAATAATCAAAGAACACCTCTAAATCTGTAATCACTACGCAATAAAACCATTTTAAAGAACAAACTCATATCTGAAAAACCAAAAATCTGAACAAACTAAATCTGAAAAAAGAAACCCATCAATTTCTGCGTACAAACACATAGAAATGAAATTCATGTCAACAATAGAACGAAATCGGCTTCAATTTCAAAGGAATTTTTCCATCTGGGTACAAAACCATCAATTTTTTCTCTTGAAATTGTCTTCTGTTGTGAGGAAGAAGACTGACAGACTAAAAAAGACAATGGACAGAACCAAACTCGGCCGGTGAAGCTTCAGTTCGACAGTGGAATGTCGATTTAGGCGCCGCTTGGTGCGAACTCCGATGATCTCCGGCGGTGCTCAACGCTAGTTCCGAAGGTGGAGTTTCAACGTGAATTTTAGGTTGGATTTGAGAAAGAAGAACATATGGGTTTTGATTTTCGTGTACTTCGTGTTCAGAAGATGGAGAGGGTAGTCAGGGAAAAAATAATTCCACCAACGTCAAAATCGCAATTCCACTGGATCATGGGATGAATGGTCTTTCCACCAAAATGAGTGAATGGGAATGAAAGGCCTTTTTGATAAAAAAATTTTAGGCCTTGTTGAATTCGCGGATTCAAATTTTCAATTTGAGTTGAGATGTGATATTTTTTTAAAACTATTCACTGTAGCAGAAAAAGTTAAATGTGACATTTTTTGAGAACTTTTTACTGTATAAACCTAAAACTGAAAATTCAAATCGGTGAAATAAACGAGACAATCAAACAAAAAATTCGGACCTTGGCAGAGGAATTGCCTTTCCTTTCCTTTCCATTACCTCAAACCAAACACACCTTAAATACCTCTGAAGCAGTTAATTTTTAAAAATGTCATGATTATCCTTTTTAATGTATATTATTTTAGATATGATTTAACTAAAAAATTAAATAAAAAATGTTTAAAAATACTCAAGTAGATATTCTAATCAAATAAACACTTCAATTATTTAAAGAGTTTTTCATTTTTTAAAATTGATTTTATTTAACATTTTGGTTTAATAATGTTTTAAATTGTACTTGACAAAGATTGGTAATTTAATATTTTACAAAATTTAATTGCTTTAGGGGTGTATTGGATTTATTTTTATAAATACAAAGGATAATATTTTATCGTAAGAAGAGCCAAGTGGCATTTTAACAAAACACAAAAGAGTGTTTTGGATATTATCCTTCTATGAAAACAAAAAAATTACTAGCGTTGTGAAAACTGAAAAGTCACATACCGTTTATCATTTATGTCTATTATTTAGTACTATAGTCGTTTTATTGTTGCTTGCAATAAACGATTGATAACAATAAGGGGTGAAAACGACAAGTTTTAATATGAAGTTATATAGGTTCTCGACTTATCAAATGATTTTTTTTTCTTTTTTTGGATTACCGAATAAGAACATACATGTATCAATTTGATGATGCTAAAGAGGTAAAATTTATACGTTTCAAAAAAAAAAAGTAAAATTAATACTTTTAGCAGCCTTTCTAAAAGACTACTAATTATAACCAGCAAAAAAGACTGCTATTTATAAATTCTTAAAACATATTTTACATAAAAAATTTTGGAAAATAGTTTCATGATTTTTTTTAATTGATAGTTTTATTTATGGAAAAATAAATAGCATATGCAAAGTGTTAGTAAAATGAAAAACAGGGGTCTGTGCCATTCGAGGTCTTAGGATGAGGCTTTTGTTTCTCACCATTCATCCAAGATAAACACAACCAACTATATATAACCAATCAAACTCAGAAAGATAACACACAAGAGAGAGAGAAAAATTATGGCACTTAGAATGTGGGCTTCTTCAACAGCCAATGCACTCAGAATCTCTTGTGCTTCCAAAGCTCATCTCTCTCCTGCATTTTCTCTCTCTAGATGCTTCTCAACTGGTATTTCTTCCCTATACTCTACTGGGTTCTCTCTACATTTGTATATCTATATGTGTATGTGAACTAATTTCTTCACCAAAAAAAAAAAAAAAAAAACCGACCCATTGAAGCTTTACTTTCTTCTTGTGATATGATATTGTTATGTTGAAAAATTTTGCAGTTTTGGATGGTTTGAAGTATGCGACTTCACATGAGTGGGTGAAGCATGAGGGCTCAGTTGCTACAATTGGTATAACTGATCACGCCCAGGTCAGTATAACTTCAAATCCCCATGTGGACAAGATCTTTATCTTTCTTTTTTGTTCTTTCAAGTATATCTGTATATGCCATTTACAACTTTATGAGAATTTTTTACTGTCAAGTTCTCATAAGGTTCGGTACTTAAATTGTCATATTTTATTTAATTTGATCTCACCATTGAAAAAATGTATCTAATTTTGTCTGGTTAAGAATTGTGTCCTACGGGTATGGTATTTTTCTTTTCATACCCTACCACAAAATTCTCTGGAAAAACTGTTCTAGATACTTCTTCCTTTGTAGGTTATTACAAGGTTGCAATACACTGCGGTATGTTACAAGCAAGTAATTAGTACTAATTAGCTGAGCAATGTTTCATATTCGAAATTGATTTCTAATTCATATTCATTACTTATGACTTTTGATTATAGTATGATTGGATATGCATTGGGATATGTCTTGTGGGCATTTGTTGTATTACTGTTGTATTGGATTACTTGCATTTTCAGCACTTTGATATATGGCATTTGAACAGGAAAGTGGTGCCATTCTGTTGTTCCAAATTCCATAATTATTCAAAATAGAGCTTCTTAATTTGGATCTTCAGCTACTAAATGGAGTGAAATTTGAAGCTTTTCAAGTGTGCATTTTGCAGGATCATCTTGGGGAGGTAGTGTTTGTGGAGCTGCCAGAACGAAAGGCCTCAGTCTCCCAAGGTAGCGGCTTTGGAGCAGTGGAAAGTGTGAAGGCAACCAGTGATGTAAATTCTCCGATCTCCGGCGAGGTTGTCGAGGTTAACTCCAAGCTTAGTGAATCACCTGGCTTGGTAATTCTTCCTTTCTTAGCTCAATCACTCGGTTTCCAAGAATAGTACTATTGAATATAAGAGCCAAAAAAAAAAAAAAAAAAAACAATGAAGTTTTTTATCTTTACGAAACTAAATGCCTGTTTGGTTTATAAGTTTAAACATAAAGTCAATTTTTTATTAGATAAAATACCGTAGCAAAAAGGTTTGAACTGTGATTCAAACCAGCAAAACAAATGGGATAACAGTAAATCCTAGAAACCTGATTCAGTGCTGTTGAATTCTATTGGACTTGCTTTCTCTTTTGCTTTATTGGTTTTTTTACACTTTTTTGAGTCACTTTTTTGTTCACATGAAGATCAACACAAGCCCGTATGAAGACGGATGGATGATCAAGGTGAAGCCGAGCAATCCCGCGGAGCTAGAATCCTTGTTGGGTCCTAAGGAATATACTAAGTTTTGTGAGGAAGAAGATGCTGCCCATTAGAGTTTAAACATGCAGGTGCAATCATCTTGGATATATACTTTTGCAGCAAGAAAAGGGGGGGAAAAAAATCATCTTAGATGCTAACTGATTTTCAGCCTTTTTTTTTAAAGATTGTTGTAATTTGCCAAGTTCTTGTCAAATTAGACTACAAAAACTGCCGGCTCTGAAATCACATTTCCCTTTTCGTTTTATTCTCTTGTTACATTTTAACTCTATCTTATCTTCATGTAAAGTAGTATTCATATTTTCCTCCATTCTTTTACATCTCTTTCATTATTCTCAATTTGCCTAGTCTTGGTTCACCCCATATTATTATAAGCACGTATTTCTACGTGTTTAGATGACGATAACCTATTGAAATTTGAGTTTTCTAATCCTGTTCAAAGTGGAAGCTAATTGCGCTAAACTCGTTTGTATTTATCAGAAACTTTAAATTGATAAGTACAACCTAATTAACATAATAAATTCTCTAAACTTCTAGTGTACTCTAGGTGCTAAGTAGTGAAAAAAAGGTAATTTCTTGAACGAAATACTTTGAGCTATATTAGCTTTTGATGAGAAATGCAGTGAAACAAGTGTAAGTAACCAAGAAAAAAATGAGACCCCCCCCCTTTTTTTTTCTCTCATATATTTTTCTTTTATGTACTCTCCACCATTAGATCTTGTAATTTTTTGTAGTTCAAGTCCATCCTAACTCTTCTTAGGGCTTTCTGTACTTGTTCCACTAAGTGCTAAAACTTTGCACATTTGCCCTTTCTCAACATTTTTAGAATAACCTCTCAGGTTAAACTCTCGTAATGTGAACCTAGCATCAATTCTGTAAAAGAGGGAAACTTTTTCTTTCTTATTCTTTTTAAATAACTGTTAGGATTTTAATTGAATTTTAATTATGAAATCCTAAAAAGTTCCTACTTATAATCTCTTAACTGAATTTACATTACTTAATGCCATTGCTTGCCTTTTATTGCACCCCGGAAAACTATATTAACTTTTGAGTTTTCTTGTGAACATTGTTACTCTTTTTTGAGAAACCAAATGAGAAGTTCAAGAAGCAAGTTGCCCAAATTAGAAATTCAAGAGGCAAATTGTCAAAATTAAAAGTTTAAGAGGTAAGTCGCTGAAAATTAGAAGTTTTAAGAGGTAAGTCACTGAAACTCTACAAATTCAAGAGACAAACACGCAAAATACCATAATTAAAAGTAAAACGGAGAAGAGGAAGAAGTTAGTATTCTAACGCACCCCATTTGGTGGACTTTACAAAGCAATTTTCAATGTTAACTTAAGCAATTGAATTAGACATGCATGAATTATCAACTATTGCGTTTTAACTAATGTGACATGCAAGTTATCTTTTTATTAGTATATGCAATCTCTCCTCATTAATTATTTTGATAATATTTTAAAAACCCATTCATGTAAAAAAAAAACTCACATATCACTTCAATTGATATATAAAAATTGAAATTTAACTTAGTATCTCTAACATTATTATTATTATAAATATAGGTTTTATCTTCAGTCTGCTACGGATAGGAACACCTATTGTTAGATTTTTATTTTTATTTTTTGGTTGAAGAAATGACACAAACGTGTTAATCAATTGACGAGTCTGTCAGGTTCTTTGTTAATAACATACTTACAACTGGAGATGTTGGCAGATGGTTTAGGTGGGATAATTGTATCAGGCAATAATGTAATATGTTATGCTTACAAAAATATGTAAATGTACCATTAGCAAAGAAAATGTGCAACAAAAATGACGATGTATATTTTCTATTCAAATATGTATCCCTTATTTCAAATAAGTGAAGTGACATAGTAGTATGCGTATTCATTGAATTGTGGTCGTCAATTTAACTGAAATGTATTGTCGTTAATTTTGAAATACATGATTTATAATGATCAGATTTAGAATCCGGGTAATTTAATTTTCAAATATTATAATAGAATCAATAAGTAATTTTAACTACTCAAAACTGGTATCATACATAGACATAAGGTTGAAAAAAATACAAAACGCTCGTTTTTGTTGAATTCTTTTTTTTTTTTTTTTTCTTTCTATCTTATTTTTCTTTTTACTTTTCCCCAGAATTTTATATTTTTCGTTCTTGTCTTTTTATATCTTTTTTTTTCTTTTTTGTTCAAATTATTTTTTTTACAGATATCCTACTTGGATTTTTTTTCTAATGGTGTCCTCAAACTTATCTATTTCTTCATTTTAGTCTTTTTTTACCCTTTTTTTATTTTTGTTCTGAAATTTTTTCTTTTTATCCTAAAATTTATTTATTTTTTCATATATGCCTTTTTTTACTCCTTTTTTAAAATTTTTTTTTTTGCTCTGAAACTCTAGGCGTGTTTGGAACTCGTTCTAAAATGATTTTTTGTTTTCTATATGAAAATGGAAATGAAAATTTTTTAATCTCAGACAGAAATTATTTTTAAAAATGCGTTTGATAGTTTTATCAAGAGATTGTTTTCATTATATAAAAACACATTAATGTCTCTCTCTGTACTCGAGAGAGGAGAAAACGAAAATAAAAAATGAAAAATGACTAAAAGTCATTTTTCATTTCTCTCCCATTTTACACTAAACCAAACAATCAATTTCATTTCCGTTTTTTTATCTTTAATAGTGTCAAACATTGTTTTGTAATCGTTTTCATTTTATCTTTCTCAAAAAATATGAAAAACAAAAATCAGAACAATTCTAGACACGGCGTCTATTTCTTTATTTACGTTATTTTTGCCTTAAAATTTTTTTATTTCTCTATTTTTTATCTTTGTTTTAACCCTTTTTTAGTTTAGTCCTAAAATTTTATTTTTTTTATTCCTGCATCTTATGTCGTTGGGCAGAGAAAGATGTGAGAAAAAAAGGGTGAGACCGTGAGAGCTTATAGAATATTAATAGGATCCATTTAGTTTGCATTTGAGTTTTTAATACGAGTTGAGATTTGATTTTATGTGAAAACTTTTTACTGTAGTAAAAAGTTAGATATGACTGTTTTTAAGAGTTTTTTACTGTAACAAAACTCAAATTCTAAACTCAAAACAGTAAAATAAACAGAGCTATAATTTTTTCTTTTTTCTTGTTGAAAGGACGAAATTTGTTCCTGTCATTTACAGGCTTCTATATTGAGACAACAATCTTTTTTTTATTAATTTTATTCGCAGACCCCTATCTCCAATCTGCTCCCCATATTTTAAATTTGTGACGACCCTCCTATGAGGCCGCCACTGTAACTTAAACTTTAACTTGTACTTACTAGGGTTTCTTAAAATATGCGGAACATTTTTTTTTTTTTTTATATAAGAAGGAATACTTTCATAATTTGTAACAATAATTTCAAATAAGTGAATCACTAAATTTCTTAAAGCTTTTCTTAATTTTAGTTAAGATAAAACCTTTTAGGAATATCCTTCAAACGGAATAGCATTTGAACTCTTGTTTCAAATACTCTTTAAAAGCTTTTCTAAAACTAGTCATTTCAATCGGCCATCTCATTTGACTTTAAAAGGGATTTCGTGAGAAATCTTAAATTCAAGTACATCTTAAAGTCCTTCTAAAATTACTCATTTAAATCGTCATGTTTAAAATTCATTTATTTGTTGCATGTACTATTGCAACGTTCTAAAACTTAAATACTCAAAACTAGGGTTGTTAGCTACAACCTTCGTTTTCTTAACATATATATGTACGTATACTTTTTAAACATACATACTTGAAACCTTTGAATCATATAGACATATACATGATTTTTCTTAAACTTACGGCGGAAAATAACTGCGTGAGCGGTATCCATTCCCATCTCCACCATTCGTCCACCGCTCGCCATTGCCCTTCAAGAATTGCTGATAGGTTTCTTACCTACAACATGAACATATCTGATTGAGCTTTCGCTCAGCAAGTAGGAACTATATCTCACAAAATAACTGTAAGTACACATGAATAAATATGCATGAGCTGATTATGCTTAATTATGATGTCTTATCATAATCTTATTATCTTATCTTATCTTTCTTACTGATGAGCCCGAGTGCTCGCATACCACTTGCGCGCAATCATCGGAACGTGAGGGTTTGCAAGGTCCCCCACGACACCGTGATTATAACTTGAATGCCTCCCTTGAGTCGGAGGACATTATTGTTATTTTCTTTTTCTCCCTTGTGGAGCTGGAGTTACCTCCCTT